GAAAGTGATATTCAGAGATGAATCAGAAATCTGCATTGGGCAGGGTGATGATGCTGGAACTTTTGTTTGGTGTCGTTCCAATGAAATGTATAAAGATGGTTTCCTGAAGAAAACATGCACATTCCTGCAATCATTGATGATATGGGGTTGCATGTCAGAGTAAGGTACGGGGGAGATGACAGTCATTATATCTTCAATAAATGCACAAGTGTATTTTGAGATTTTGAACACTTTTCTTATTCCATCATTTGAAAGGATGTTTGGCAATGATGGCATCATTTTTCAGGATGATAATGCATCTTGTCATAGGGCAAAAGCTGTGAAAACTTTCCTTCAGCAAAGAAATATAATGTCAATGGCATGGCCTGCAAATAGCCCAGACCTCAATCCAATTGAAAATCTATGGTGGAAATGAAAGAAAATGGTCCATGACAAGGCTCCAACCTGCAAAGCTGATCTGGCAACTGCAATAGGAGAAAGTTGGAGCCGGATTGATGAAGAATACTGTTTGTCGATAGTTAAATCCATGCCTCAGAGAATTCAAGCTGTTATAAAAGCCAGAGGTGGTGCAACAAAGTACTAGTGGTGTTCTGTAGTGTTGTTTTTTCACGATTCCATAATATTTTCCTCAGAATTGAGTGATTCCATATTTTTTCCTCTGCTTGATCTGCAAAAACAGTTGCAACTGACCACAGTTTTCTTTCTTTTCTATTTTTACGTGTTTTTTAAAGTCAGAAGGTTGGAATGTTAAATGAAAATAGCTTTGAGGCATGTCTGTGATTAATTTTTTTTCTACACAATTAAACAATTGAATGAACATTTTCCAAGAGTGGTGATTCCATACTTTATGCCAGGGGTTGTACAAAAGGTATTTTCCTCCTATCTATACGACTGTAATCAGAGCCCAACCAAATTATGTTCATTAGGAAAACTTGTTTGTTCAAGTGCAATCAGACCACTTTCCTTACATCTAGCACACATTTTTTGTGCAGAATTCATGGCCTGCACCACCACCATTATTGCCTGCAATATGTTCAGTGCTCTGGGCAATTAAGAATATTTGGCTGTCTGGTTCACGACCAACCAAAACTTGAAGAACCAATATCTTGGACCATAGAAAGAGATAAGCAACACATGGAGGCTTAATTAATGTGTCTGCATGGGAGTGACAGTCTGGCTCTATGTCATAGCTTGTTAAGCAAGGTTTCTCTGAGAAGATGACTGAAACAGTTCTATCTACTCTTATGAATTAAGGAGTGTATTTTAATATTTACAGAAGCTGTTCTGCTTAATGCTACCCTACCATTACCTTCCTTACCACTTTAAACATGTTAATTTGGCTTGTAGGATATTAGCTCAACTTCGGCCATGTCCCCATTGAATAGTCAACTGTATCATAGCATGTGAAAAGCACTAACAGTTCTTACCATCCAAGTATTTAAGCTAAGGATGGCTAGATTAATCAAAGAATACAGCAGCAACTTTTAGTATTTTGGAAAAAAAAGATTATCAGCTATTTTAACCACATTCCATTAACCACGGCTTTCCTGATTTCTTGTCCTGCTCCCATAGGGACGAGTGGGGTGAAATCTCCAATGAGGCCATTTAGTTCAACAAAACCTATACAGAAAACAGTATAGTACAAGGTACAAAGTATTAATTCATCCCAAATCCACCCAAAATTTGAAAAGGTTTTGATTGGAGTTGGTTGATTATTTACCACTAGATATAATCACTTACCGGACTATGTCAGAAATTCCAGATGTAATATTTTTGTGAACTCACCTCTTCCCACAGATTCCCTGCTTGTTTTTTTATCATATATTACGCAATAACATCATGTAGAATGGCCGTGTTCAGTATTTTATTCAGTGTATTTATATACATTTGGTATTTTGGTGTTTGGTCTTTTGAATGCTGGACATCCAAAATTAATGAAAGGCAAGAACTGCTTTTATTCACCCTAGGCTAGAAAAATGATTGTGTACTTTAAAAAAAAATGACACGTACCGCATGTCATTTGGATTACTTGGCTACATTAGCCGTTCTATGTCAAGACAAGGAAATTAGTTTTGTTAAGATGAAAGAAAATAACATTAACAACTAAACAATCATTTAATAGACACAAGTAAATAACAATGATATGGTTATCTAACCAGAATAATATGCTTGAAGGCATTAAAGCAGTTGAGACTGATAAACTTTATGATCTGCACAAACCATGCTCAAGTCACCTTGCATTGTGTCTGAGAAAAGATAAATACCTGCAGATCCCAAAATCTTCCACCTGGGTCTCATGGCCCTATACCCTGGAATATTTGCACTTACACTCCACTCTACCTTTTTTCCTAATCTTTTTTCCCAATAGAAGTTAATAGCGGTGCTGCCTGCTGACTACAGGGTACTAAAAGCCTCAGCTATTAGCAAGGCCACTTTTTATTCCTGATTGCCCTCCAAACTACATTTTTTTCTACTTTGGGCAATTCTTGTCATGTGGACCTAATGTTGAAGCCTTTGGCTAATTAAAGTATATCAAAAGTCAAAACTTTTAAATTTAATTTTGAATAGAGTAGAACATGGAGAAAAACATGTCAGTTTTTTTTCTCATATGTGTCCTAGGGGCAGTGGGAGATTTATTTTCACTTCCTGCCCTGTAGACACAATGGGAAGTAAGAAGTAAATCTCTCTAAAGTGAGTTTTTCCCCTTCATAGACAAGTATACCCAATGGACGTTTTCCCATCCATTTCTGTTCTGACGACACCTCAAATAATTATTGCAGGTACTTATATAGCACTGTCAACTTACAATGTTTCAATGTAATGCTTTTACATATATATTTATACATTCACATCAGTCCCTGCCCTCAAGGAGCTCACAATCTAGGGTCCCTAACTTCAATTTATACATACTAGGGCCAATTTAGACAGGAGCCGAAAAACCTACTAGCATGTCTTTGGAATGTGGGAGAATGTGGAAGGAAACTGGAGTACCCAGAGGAAACCCAGGCATGCAAAGGGAGAGCATGCAAACCAGGCAGGAAGTGTCATGGCTGGTATTTGAATGGGCGACCTTAGTGCTGCCAGGCAGAAGTGCTAACCATTTACCCACTATGCTGCTCATTGAATTTCTCATCATTTTCAGCCTGGGTGACAATGGCCAAGAAGACAATAAGTGTAAATTTACACAGCAGGAACACAGGAAGCAATAAAACAGACTGATGTATTTTGTTTCCATAGTGCTACCCCCAAAGCACCTGAGTTTAAATGGTTCTTTCTGAAAACAGTGCAGAGGCAGCCAGGCATACAGCAACATTCCATTCACTCCAGCTCATTGAACAGTCCAGGGGATGTACCTTCATAGTTCACTTGCTTGTAGAACTTGTAACTGGATAGGGTTGGGGGGGTATGAAATACTTCAGGAACCATGAATATTAACAGAAGGGCACACTTCACTAGGCTAGGTTTCTCTGAATAGTCTTTCTGCCAAGAGCTGAAGGGAAAACCAGAAGTGAGACCCTCTCTCAGTTAGAGCTACCACTGGCACTTTCAGACAAAGAAAAACAGCACACAGTCACTAGGATGTTGAGCTCAGGTCAGTACTCACAATGTTCACAATATGGCTGAACACTTCCCTGTATCCACTGGACACTCTTCAGTGAGGGAGAGGTTAATGCTTTCAATGCCACAGGATAGCTATGCACGTTCCAGCTTTCACCGGGCACTATTCAGTGAGTTCTCCACACCAGATCCTTAGCTACAGAAGGATTTAAAAATAGGTCCCCAACTATGCCACAGCTGGGAATTCAATGAATATCAGCTTGAATCAGTAGAATTGCTGTGTTGGTGGTGGTGGTGGGGGGTTGCCTCCCCCACTCAGATGAGTGGGATGCCTTCAACAGGAAGACCCTGCTGTTCCAAAGCTCTTTATGCACCACTCAGCAACCTACTGGGCCCACATCCCCAGGGATCGGCTGCAGCACAATAAATATTCATATTGCCAATTTGACTTGCCAAACCTCCTATGTTCTAGAGATCTCTAGAAGGCAGGGGAAAGCAATCAAACCTGCAGCCTGTTAAATCCAGGACAGCCAAGAGAAATCAAAAGCTGCTTCAATGACTACAGAAGAACCAAAAAGAACTACATTTATCTAACATCCTATCTAAACAGGTTCTACATTCCACTAGTAGAAGTGCTTGAAAGTAGGTCAACTGATTATAAACATAGCTCAATGATAGCAAAAAATAGCTTTTCCTCCATAGCGAACAAACGGACACTTTTCTTTTACTTTCTCATTGATACTGTAATATGCCATTGATTCATGCATGTTACACAGCATTAGCTCTAGACAATATCATACAATTCATATATTATCAGAGGTCAGAAAACCTTATCTTTTGGTCATTGGGCTACAGCAGGTCTCATTTATGCTGTGTTCTGATCCTTCTGATGATTTTGGATGGAGCTGACACTTTAGACAAAAAAAAACTAAAAAAATCTCCGTATTGGAATTATCAGCAGAGGGAGCTCCTGTCAAATGTAATACGTGGTGATGGGAAAATAAAGTACAATGGTAGAAAAAAAGAAAAGTGCGTAACAAAAGAGGAGCTGGTGAAAAAGTGAGATGACAAAAAAGATTCATCTTTATAATTAGAAAGGTAAATTACTATATAAAACCAGTAACTTTACAATACCTAGGAGGGACTTAGGCTGAACACAGGTAATTTTCTGCTAACAACAATCAAGTACTTAATGAGAATCATATACCCCCTGCTGTTAATCCTGGCTGACTCAAAGCAGCTCGGAAAGCACTGTCAATCTTCAAAGGATGTTAACCCAGCCATCCTCTCCGACATCAGAGGTCACATCAGTTAAAAGATCAATTTTGATTTGTTGTTATAGGTTACTATACTTCGCACATTATAATTTTTTTGTTGGGGCCAAAAAGTTCTTTTATTCCGGTCAAAGTGGTCTAAGGTGGCCTCTTATATCCTCTTTATTTTACAACAAGAGGTAAATTACACAGCTTTCTGACTAAAACAACTGAAACTCTGGTGTAAGACAAGGACTGTGTCCTGATGTGACCTACCTTTACTGAAAAGTGTAAATACAAAATAAACTGTGTGAAGAATTTGGTGCTTAACCACTTGCCCTCCAGAGGATTTACCCCCCTTCCTGACCAAGCCATTTTTTGCGCTACGGCACTGCGTTACTTCAACAGCCAACTGCACGGTCATGCAACGCTGTACATAAATGATTTTGTGGAATCCTGACACCCTGTAGCAGTATTTCTGCTATATGGAGGCAGGGAAGCAGTTAAAGTGATTCTAAATCCTATATTTTTTATATTAATGCATTCTCTGAATTAAGTAAAAAAAAGGCCCCACTACTTGTCCTATCCACCTCATCGGCAGGGGCGGACTGACCATTTGGAAACTCGGGCACTGCCTGAGGGCCCAGGGTCAGTAGGGGGCCCCATAAAATGCCCCTGGTACCTTTTTCATAGGCTTTTTTGAGTTTGGGCAAGGACACAGGGGCCTCATGATCCCCTATTGCCTGGGGGCCCCATGAGTTGTCAGTCTGCCCCTGCTCATCGCTAAACACTTATCTGACTCCTCTCACTGATCCAGCACTGTGCTGGCTGCAGCACCGCTCCTCTCACTTCCTGGGGTCACAGGAGACACAGAGGGCAGCGAGAGCCATAGGCTCCTGCTGATGTCAGTCAGACTCCTGTGAAGAGGGAGCGAGGTGTGGCTTACCAGCACTGTGTGTCAATAGATGCACACAGCCTGGCTCAACGTCACACACTCATGGGTGCCTCCTTAGTACCCAATTTGCTTAGGAGGCACCTGGGGGAGGAGGGAACAGACCGTGCCAGTTGGAGATAGCTCGAAGAAGAGGTAAGGGACTTTTCTGTGCAATATTGTTGCACAGATGAGGTAAGTAAAACATCTTTTATTTCAACAAAAAAATATATAGACTTTAATCTCATTTTAAAGTGATACTAAAGCTAAAACATATTTTAACTTAATGCATTCCTTGCATTAAAAGAGAAGTATTTAAAATCACACTTACCTAGGTGGATGCAGCATTGGTCTGCTGCTGAATCTGTCCCCCACCGGCTCTAAGGGTGAGAACTCAGCAAACACAACACTGATCACTGAGTTCTCTCAGCCACTCTGAGCAGAGAGCGGTGAATGTCAGTCACTGCTGTCTGCTCTGCCCCCCGACGCTCACTGGAGCGCTGGGCTGTAGATTGGAAGGGAACAGCTGGCTTAGGCTTTCAGTGGATCAGTTACAGGTTGAGTCAGGTGCAGCTCCAGACTCTGGGGTGGATCCTGACTTTAAAGTCGGGATATTTCTCCAGCCTGGACCAGCTGAGTGACGTCAGCCGACAGCGAGCTTCAGCCCATTGTCAGCTGAAAACAGGTTACAGGAGTGCAGAACAAACTGTAGTCCTGTTATCCACAGGAGAAGTACAGCCAGAAGGACTTTGTACTTCTGTTTTAAAGTAAAAATCATTTTCTATTTCTCTGCCCCTCCACCTTCCCTGTGTGAAGGGGAAGAGAGTGAAGAATAGATCCAGCACTGTGCACAGCTGCATCTCTTCTCCCCCTTCTTTCTCTTCATACAGCACTCGAGCAGCAGAAGGAGTCATTGGCTCCTGCTGCTGTCAATCAAATGCAGTGAGGAAGAAGTGAGGGGGCGGGGCTTAGTTTCACTGCATAAGTCTGTGGAGCGTAGGACCGTGCAGACACTGTGTGCCTCCATAGCAGACAGCTTGCTATGGGGACACACGAAGAAGAAGAGGAGCTAAGATTGCTGGCAGGGGACTCGAGAAGAGGACCACTTTTACCATCACTTGTACCACTGCACAGTGCAGGTGAGTATAACATGTTTGTTATTTTAATTGTAAAAAATTGACTTTAGTAACACTTTAAGTCCCATTATCACATATAGCTTGTGATTGAACAATAAATGAGCAGCAATTGTCTGATGAGGCCATCTCTCTCTTCTCTTCATCTGTTAGTGTGTTTTTTTATCAGCACAAGTGATTTCACCAGAGCTTGGTTGGCTCAAAATACTGACCCTTCCTCTACCAGTCTGTATAGGAGAGTTGCATTTCACTAGTTTCTCTAGTTCCAGTTCAAAATACATTCAATAATTTTGTAGTAATTCAGTGCATTAATTGGTGTTTTTATATCTACTTGGAGTATGGTGCCAGTTCACAGAGAGTGAATTAATCTACTGTTAGTAAATTGGTGAAGAGGTCCATTGCACTCTTTTCCAGTTCACTCAGGTAACCTTTGTCCAATCCCAGAGTATGGAAAACCTACCCTAACTCACTGACTAGGATGTCAGTAAATTAATGGGATCCAATGGGGATAATTTTTCCATTATAGATGGTAAGAAATCCTTCCCTACAATTCACTGTGTACTCCTCCAACCAATAACAGCAAGATTCCCATGAGTATTTGCTTAGTTAATGAACTTGCATTAATACTGTACCGAATTATGAAGTACCATATTAAAGCCAAATTCCAAGTATAAATTTTTTTTGCATAGTTACATTGGTCCAGCTTGGACCAATGTAAATATGCATATGCCATATCTGCGGGATCACCACGTAATCGGAAAATCACTGTAGTTGTCCTCTCTACAACAGTGATCGCCACTCTCTTCCAGGTTCTGTGCATAGTGAGGGGGGTTGCTCACTCAGCACAAGAACCATTCACAGAAAGCCTTGCTTTTTTCTCATTGAATACAAGCAAGGTGTTCTCTGATTGGATGAGATGAAGAGGCAGTTCTGTGATGTCAGTATCTTTACCTCTTCCAATCAGAGAATGTTTTGATTTCATCGAAAAATACATAAGGAGTTCTCTGAATGGCATCTGTGCTGAAGGGGTGACGCTCTGTGGTTACTATGCAGCAGGGCAGCTGCTCAGTACGGGACCAGAAAGACAATGGAGATCATTGTAGTAGCAGTGACTACTACAATAATTCTCTGCTACCACAGGGATTAGCCAGGTATGGAATACAGTGGGGCAAAAAAGTATTTAGTCAGCCACCAATTGTGCAAGTTGTCCCACTTAAAAAGATGAGAAAGGCCTGTAATTGGCATCATAGGTAGACCTCAACTATGAGAGACAAAATGAGAAAAAAAATCCAGACAATCACATTGGCTGATTTGGAAAGAATTTATTTGCAAATTATGGTGGAAAATAAGTATTTGGTCACCTACAAACAAGCAAGATTTCTGGCTCTCACAGACCTGTACCTTCTTCTTTAAGAGGCTCCTCTGACCTGCACTCATTACCTGTATTACCTCATTACTTGTTATCAGTATAAAAGACACCTGTCCACAATCTCAAACAGTCACACTCCAAACTCCACTATGGTGAAGACCAAAGAGCTGTCGAAGGACACCAGAAACAAAATTGTAGACCTGCACCAGGCTGGGAAGACTGAATCTGCAATAGGCAAGCAGCTTGGTGTGAACAAATCAACTGTGGGAGCAATAATTAGAAAATGGAAGACATACAAGACCACTGATAATCTCCCTCGATCTGGGGCTCCATGCAAGTTCTCACCCCGTGGGGTCAAAATGATCACAAGAACGGTGAGCAAAAATCCCAGGACCACATGGGGGACCTAGTGAATGACCTGCAGAGAGCTGGGACCAACGTAACAAAGGCTACCATCAGTAACACACTATGCCGCCAGGGACTCAGATCCTGCAGTGCCAGCCGTGTCCCCCTGCTTAAGCCAGTACATGTCCGGGCCCTTCTGAAGTTTGCTAGAGAGCATTTGGATGATCCACAAGAGGATTGGGAGAATGTCATATGGTCAGATGAAACCAAAATAGAACTGTTTGGTAGAAACACAACTCGTCGTGTTTGGAGGAGAGAGAATGCTGAGTTGCATCCAAAGAACACCATACCTACTGTGAAGCATGGGGGTGGCAACATCATGCTTTGGGGCTGTTTCTCTGCAAAGGGACCAGGACGACTGATCCATGTACAGGACAGAATGAATGGGGCCATGTATCGTGAGATTTTGAGTGCAAACCTCCTTCCATCAGCAAGGGCGTTGAAGATGAAACGTGGCTGGGTCTTCCAACATGACAATGATCCCAAACATACCGCCCGGGCAACGAAGGAGTGGCTTCATAAGAAGAATTTCAAGGTCCTGGAGTGGCCTAGCCAGTCTCCAGATCTCAACCCCATAGAAAACCTTTGGAGGGAGTTGAAAGTCCGCGCTGCCCAGCGACAGCCCCAAAACATCACTGCTTTAGAGGAGATCTGCATGGAGGAATGGGCCAACACACCAGCAACAGTGTGTGCCAACCTTGTGAAGACTTACAGGAAATGTTTGACCTCTGTCATTGCCAACAAAGGATATATAACAAAGTATTGAGATGAACTTTTCATATTGACCAAATATTTATTTTCCATCATAATTTGCAAATAAATTCTTTCCAAATCAGCCAATGTGATTGCCTGGATTTTTTTTCTCATTTTGTCTCTCATAGTTGATGTCTACCTATGATGCCAATTACAGGCCTCTCTCATCTTTTTAAGTGGGAGAACTTGCACAATTGGTGGCTGACTAAATACTTTTTTGCCCCACTGTATGTGTACCAATGTAACAATGCATAAAAACTTACCTGGAATTCATCAGGCCCTTGATAGATAAAGTTAGGACATCTTCTTAAGTTATAACATCTTCAATAGAGGGTAAATGGACTCAAGTGCAACATTCAGTGAAATGAGATTAGAGACATGAATTTAAGGTCCTACTATACAAAGCTCTACACAATAGGATTTTTAAAGCCTTGGGATTCATATGTCCACAATGAGACTAATCGTGCACAGCTGGATGAAAACCAGTACTGTTGCTTCTCTCTCTAGAAGCGAGTCGGTTAACTGGAAGCAAGGCAACCCCTGTCTGGCAGATATCTCAGCAATTTTTAAGAAATGATGCAGATTTCAGTGATGGTGTCATTCAATAATTAATTTGCAAATCTCTATATTTATTACAATAACAATATATGCAAGACCAAAACCATAACAATATTGTGACAGGGCTACATGAGATCACAAGGTAAAATGGCAATCAGTGTGCAGTTTTGCAGGTGTAAAGAGAATTTGGTATCACCCAGGGCTCTTACCCATGATGGACTCTGGGGTGCTTGGTTTGAACTGAGAAACCTGGCTTGGCAGTTTTCTTCAGCTTTGCCTGCAGATATGGAGGAAATGCTTAGAATCCCTTGTAAGTATATAAGAAGCAAGAAACCTTAAAGTGTATTTTTCACTTTTGCAGGCAAATTGGGAAAACAGCTATCTCACATTTGTTATGTGTTTCTGTTACCATAGCATAACTTAAAAAAAAAATTAAAATTGCTGCTTACCTTTTCACTTGCTTTTTACTTGATGAAAAATCATACCTAGTTATGCATTGATAAGGAGCAGAGTTTTGTGCACTAAATTAATCCTGTCTGTACTGTGCTAGCTATCGTAAACTACATGTGCACATCGTCTGACCTAAGATAAAGCTCTTAAGGCTTGGGTGGCACATTGTATCTTAATGCATTTTGAAACAAATTTGTTCCTCCTAAAATCTGTCCTAAATGCACATTACAAGCTATTCTAAAGAAGCCACCTATAGAGTCCTATATGTATAAACTTGCTGCAAA